TGAAAGGATGATGACACCCTAGAGGAAGCAATGTCAGTGAAAAGCATGATGTCAAAAAAATTGGCTACATTTTATAATAAGAAAAGTGTAGGGAATTAAACGTGAAGGGTGCGAGAAGCAGGCCCATCTTAGGAACCTGAGGGTAGACTTGTGTTAGAAAAATGCTCCCTGCAAGCTAACAGTGAGAGCAGACGAGGCTGTTTGAAACCCTCTCTAGCAGATTTTTACTAAGTGATAAAACATTTTAATTCCCAATGTTTCTAAGGCTTTAAATTGCAGTACACTAAAATATGCATTTCATAATCTCCCATTTTATTGTGAATTTTTAGCGTTCTGATAAAAATGCAGTACAACTTTCCCAATAGATTGCCGAAGTCTTTGTAGAGTTTGTATGCACAGTCACACAGGCATGTACTTCTGTACACCATGAGGTTGCTTCCTGTTAAAGGAAAGATTCAGAAAGCAGGACTGTTGAGTTGTTGGTCAGGGGAATCCAGACTCCAAAAGTAGCACAGGTGATTGCCATCATCCTTGATTGCCCTCCAGAACCTGATGTGGAGATCCTATTGCTGAAGACACTGTGTATTTCACATTACACTGGAATCAGGACTTGGAGGAATCCAGCTGGAACTGATTTGATACCCTTTCCCTTGACTGCAAGCTCTAGTACCTGAAGATGCTATATAAGCTGCCAAGGTATAATAGCAATTAAGAGTTCTCAAGCATATGATAGCTGTAAAGGCTGTGAGGTACAATATTGGCCAGCATAGTAAAAGTGAAATATCTCTGGGACAACTAACAGTCACCTATACAGACGTCAGGGCCACTCAAGAGGAGCCATCTCAAACCCGGCATGGTAAACCTAGCCAACTCCCTGTGGTTGAGATCACAGATTCTAGAGGGAGAGCCAACTATTGCCATGCTCCAAAACCAGTATAATTCTCAACTCCATTCTAAGTATTTATCCTTATATCCACAAAGAAACTCCATTTTGCAGAAGAAAGAGACCATTCCAGAAAGTCAAAACTGGTTAAAACGAAGAGAACAAAATGTAAAACTTTGTAAGCACTGACAGACACTACTAAGGAAAATTCAATTCAATTACTGACTTAACTTACACAGAGTTTCATACAATGATTTTGCATGCTTATATTTCAGCTGTGAATCATTGTCTACAATTCCATGTTTAGTATGTGTACAAATTGCATATTAAATAGAAAGGAAATTGGTTTTAGACTTTGAGCACAACCCAAGGTATCTCATTATATATGTGCAAATATTCTAAGACATGAAACAGTTCTGACTTCAAACAGCTCAGAGAGGGATACCCAATCTGTGTAAAGTACAAGAAAAGATATTTAGCTGAAAACTAAGATGTATAAAGAGTTCAAAGCACAATAATTAAATTCTTTAGTGTAGAAATAAATCCCAGTGTGCATATGCAATTATAATCAGTGTGATCATAATAAAATTAGGACATGAAATAATAGTATATGTTTGTGTTAAGCATACTGACATGTCAAGACAATTCCCTCCATAGAGCAACAGAGAACTGTAAAACATATTTTAGGAAGTTTTTGTCTTTATAATATTTGAACAACTGAAAACCACAGTAGCTTCAAAATTTCACTAGTGGGTATAATTTTATATGGACACAGTCATCAATAATCATTGATATGTATTATGTTTTATCACATATTTTAAGCACATCTTAAAATGCACATCATCTAGTTTATAATGAGATAACTGGCCTGCAAATATAACAGTGCCATGATCGCAGACAAGCAATTCTTTGGTAACCTTATGATGGAAGCTTTTTGTTGCTGTTAGTTTGTTTTGTTTTGTTGGCATAAAAAGAACTCTGTAATACAAGAAAGTGTGTGTGGGTGAAAATACTGAGCTAATTTCCTGAGGAAATTTCCTATAGAGCTGAGGGAAGCCAGCTGGGGCATTGTGTTAAGTTTTATCACACCTCTATGTACTTGGTCATTAAGTCTGCTTTTATAACACAATACTAGCTCCATAATGAGAAAAGCTATGTCATGAGAGTTCCTGAGATTATAAAGTTCATATTCGTGAATTCTCAGTGTGGTCACTGCTTCTCTGTTGATGTGATACAACACTGAACAAAGACAGCTTCGGGAGGAAAGCATCCGTTTTCTCTTACAGGTTATATAGTCTAGCCCTGAGGGGAGCCAAGACAGGTTAGTGAAGGCAGGAACCTAGAGGCAGGAAAGAACTGAAGCAACCCTCACGGCCTGAAGCACTCAGGAGAAGAGCCCTACCCTCAAATGGGCAGCGCAGTAGAGCTGACCCTGTTCACAGGGGAAAGCGTGAGCTAGCCCTGGGGGTGAGAGAATGGGAGGGCAGGCCATGTCTGCCACGAGGTGAGGGAGAGATGCCTCCCTTCATCCCTCACTACCTACAGCAGGTGGGGAACATGACCCAACCCTTCTCCAGCTGCAGCTCTTGGGAGAATGGGCCCTGCATCTCACCTGGACACTACGGTAGGGTTGACCCTGTAAACGGGGACGTGGGTGAGCCATCCCTGAGGGATGGAGAGGAACATGCCTGGTACTGCCTCCCTTATCTGCAGTTGGGGCAAGGAAAAGATGCCCTCCTTCTTTGCCCCTGCTGCCTACAGCTGTCAAAGGAGCTGACCCTCATTTGACCAACTGCAGCACTAAGGAAAGTAGACCCTGACCTACTCTGGACAGCACAGTAGAACTGACTCTGTCCATGGGTGTGGGGTGAGCCAGACCAAGAATATGAGAGAGAGAGAGAGAGAGAGAGAGAGAGAGGGAGAGGGAGAGGGAGAGGGAGAGGGAGAGGGAGAGGGAGAGGGAGAGGGAGAGACAGGGAGACAGAGACAGAGAGATAGAGACAGAGATAGAGAGACACAGAGAGGAGGGAGATGCTTCCAGATTAAGATTATGTTTATTTGTATTTTTAATGGCAATATCTTCAATTCTTTTAAGATTTATTTTTTTGTTACTTTTATTTTATTATTTTTTGAGACAGAGGCTAACTGTGTAACCTTTGCTAGCCTAGAAACTCCTATGTAGGCCAGGTTGGCCTTGAACTCATAGATACACATGCCTCTGTCTCCCAAATGCTGGGGATTAAAAGCACAAGCCACCATGCCTAGCAAGGTTATGTTTTGTTAATATGTACTGAAGTTGCATGAAAGCAGTTGGAAAGGCACTAAATATTTTTCATTCAAATCCATGACTAATTTATACTATTAAATCTCCTTGACAGAGATGTGGGTTACACAGATGATAAAACACCATGGTTGACTTCAGTCAACATACAGTGCGTGAGAAGATAGATATTTAAATAAATTGCTTAGAAGTAATATAAATTGTAAAAAAGAAACGTGAACAGTCAAAATATGAGGGAGAGTGAGAGCATTTATCTGTGGAGTTGGTGGGAAGAAGTGGATCATGGGGCTGTTGCTGGGCAGACTTGACAAGCAAGGATGCTGGGGGTATGAGGATGTGTTCAATAGGAATTTCTAATTTATAAAAGAACTAGAGTACATTCTAGTTTGACTGATTTAAAATGCAGGCATGAAGAAACACAGCGTATTTTGAGATCTGCACATTTTAGATAGGTTGAACAATAAGTAAGCTGGAACATTTTTTAAAAGGTGGCTTCATGGGGAGACTTGTACAACATACCAAGAGGCCATGGTGAATAGCTGAGCTTTTACAAAAATATTATTTTGATTATGCAAAGAGTCCCCTCTCTAAGTGGAAGCATGACTAATCTCTGCTCATTTTAAATGATAATTTGGCAGGGTAAATGTGTTTGTATTCTTCTGATTAGAATTATCCTTGAACTTTCTTTTGAAAGGAAACGCTATTAGCTGTGCGCATTTCCTACTATGAATATTATCTTCCTAATGTGTGATCATCTCTGTCAGTGTTCTCGGCTTTCCTTATTATTTCCTGGTGTGTTTTATGTGCTAAAAATTTTTTGCTCAGTCTGAAAATATATTGCTTATTTCAATTTGACCTTTAATTTCATGTAGAAACATTTTAAAAGGTAGAACAGCTAAGCCTGTTGATTCGCATTTCCCCAACTGTTTAGAAAACCTCATTTGGCCTCCATATTGATTTCTCCATATTGATTTCTAGAACTTTAAGAACTTTAAACAAGGTAGGAGCACACACAAGCTTCTACTTGAGGATGGCAATATGGATGGGACTTGAACATGCGGGTCCTTACCTGTCATCTTCCCTCATTTCTCCTCACAGATAACTCAGCATCTCATCCGGCAACTCCTCCCTTTGCTGTTTATCCTATTTGTAATTGGGATGGCAGCCAGCATCTCCTCCATTCTTCTGTGGCCTCAGGTACCCAGGCATCCAAGATCCATGTCTTCCACATAGAGATGTGTTGGCAAATGACTTAAGCATGAGTCGTTTGTATGGGTCACAGGATATCCGTGTCTCCTGATATTAGTTCTGTACTTAACAAGGTCTCAAGGGGATACCCAGCCGATAGCATCATCTGTCATCTTTATGGCTGTGGAGAGTATTGCCTGTGCTCCTGAAGGCACATTCAGGCAGGCAGTTAAGAAACAAGCAGTTATTGCATGCCCACAGGGTGCAATGATCTAGGCCCTTGTTAGTTACTTTTTCACCACACAGAGTCTCTGGAAATGGAAAAACTCTTCACAACTGACAAGTATTGACAGAAGCAACCAAAGTGAGAAATACACACCAGCCAGCTAGACAGCCTAGTTAAAATAACAAAACTAGAGACTAAACATGCAGAAGAAGCAATGCATGCTGACCATCCAATGCTGAGAGCCCTCTTCTAAGGATTGCTTATGTTAATGTCTGATTCAACTTTGTTCAGTATATCATTTAAACGTAAAGTAAGGAATCATGGAAACGTCAGGAAAAACAAAATTAGTTATATGTCAACCCCCTTTGTTATGTAAAGCAGCCTCATTACTTGTTTTTCTCAGTTTTAATTTTCTTTTGCAGAATCTTCAGCAATAAGATCTTAATAACTGGTTTTGGTGGGCACCAGAAGGAATAAGCAAGAGCCAGGACTGTTCGGAAAGTAAGGGATACATACCTCTGGGACATCTTTAACAAACAGCAGTAAACCCCCTTAGTGTTGGGGTTTTACCTGATTCTATCTTTTGTTTTTTAATGTATATTTGCAGCATTTTGTCAAAACTGGGGTACCTATAATTGTTTCCATTTTACCTAGGTTCTCTTTCCTATTCCTGGATCTATGTGTATACTTTTGAGCTAGCATTCTGTTGTTTTATTACTATGGTTCCCATACTATAATATGCAATTAACTGTGGTGATACTTTTGCAATATTCCTTTTTGTTCAGGGTTCTTGTGAGTATCCATGGTCTTTCATGATTCTATATAAATTCGTAAAAACTGTTTTTCATATATTTTTAAAGAATACCAGTAGACTCTTGATTGGGATTGAACTGAATATGTAAATTGTTTTGGAAAGATCACCATTCTCATGACATTTACTCTTAACACTTAAGCAAAGAAGATCTTTTAATCTTCTAATGCCTCCTCAATTTTTTCCCTCAGTGTATTGACATTTTCAATAAAGAGGTCTTTCAAATTGTTGATTAATTTTTCTCACTAAGTGGGGATAGTTGGTGATTGTTGTTAATGGGATTATTTTTCAATGTGTTTGTCAGTTTTAAGTAGACTATTAATTGTATGTGTGTGTTTGTATGTGTCAGCGTGCACGTGTGTGTGCATGTGCGTGTGTTTGTTTTAATTTTGTGTCCTTCAACTTTGCTGAATGGGTTTAATAGTTCTAAGTGGTTTTGTAGTATTATTATCATTTCTTAAGTATAGGATCAATTATCTTCTGCAAAAGTGAGAATTTCATTCTTCATGTCCCGTTTCTATTCCATTTATTTCCTTTTCCTGTCCTATTTCTCTTGCTATGATTCTAAGCAATATACTGAATAGAAGTGGAGAGAGTGGACACACTTCTCCTGTCCTTGTTATTAGTGGGAATAGTTGAAGTTTTCTCAATTTGCTGCTATATGTTTGTGATATCTACCATTTATTGTGTTGAGTTTTTCTTCCTCTATCCCTTGCCTCTCCATAAAAGAATGCTGGATTTTGTTTAAGGTATTTTTCTATATCAATTGAAAGGATAGTTTGATTTCTTTAAGTCTATTTATGTGATGAATTATATTTTTGATTTAAATATGTTGAACTGTCCTTATGTTGCTGGTATGAAGCCAACTTTGTTAAATTGCATAGCTTCTTCATGTGATCTCAATTCAGCTCGCAAATTTTTTTTATATGTGTTCATTTAAGATATTACTCTATACTTTATTTATTTATGTAGTCTTATGTCTTGTTTTGGTATCAGAACAATATTGACTTCTTTAAAAGCTTGGCAGTATTCCTTTTTTGTGAAATAATTTTAATAATATTGATTAAAGGTCTTGTGGAATTCTACAATGGATCCATGTGGTCCTGAAAAGTTAATTTAAATGTGTATAGAGGGTAATTTTTTATTACTTCTTCAGTCTTGCTGTAGGTTACAGATATGTTTATCTGTATTACAGATATGTTTAAATTGTCTATTTCATTTTGACTTAAAATATAGATCATAAGCCTATAGAAATTTCCCATTTCTTTCGGATTTTCCAACTGAGTAGAATCTAGATTTCCAAAGTATATCCTATTCTTTATTGAATTTCATTGGTATTTGTCATTATATGTTCCTTTCTAACTCTAATTTTATTAATTTGTACATTCTCTCTTTTTTACTTACTATGGCTAAGGATCTGTCAATCTTGTTAATCTATTCAAAGAAGCAACTCTATTCATTGTATTTTTTTTTCAATTCCAATTCATTAATTTCTGCCCTACTCTTAATTATTTCTTCTTGTCTGTTACTTCTGGATTTGTTTTGAACTTGGTTTTTACTTGATGCATTAAGGTACATCATTGCGTTATTTATTTGAGATACCACCCCCCCCACACACACATATAAACATCTTTTAATATAACCACTTGCTGCTATAATTTTTCCTCTTAGGATTGCTTTCAATGTTGTTCTTAAATTTTGGTATGTTATGTTGTCATTAATTCATTTCAAATAATTCCTTAAATACCATACTTGATTTCCTCAGTTGATGTATTTACTAGTCAATAGTGTTGTTCAGTCTGTGTGAGCTTTTGCATTTTCTGTAGCGTCTATTGTTGTTGATACCTAACTTGATTCCATTGTGGTCAAACAGAATACAGAATGCTATTGCAATTTTCCAATATTTTTTAAGGCTTGCTTTGTGTTCTATAATGTGGTCTGCTTTGGAGAAAATTCCATGTTCTACTGAGAAGAATATGTATTTTTTTATTGTTTGAGTGGAATGTTTTGTAATGACTGTTAAGTCCATTTGATTTATGGTGTCATTTAAATCACTTAAGTCCAGTATTTCTCTTTAGTTTTTGTTGAAATGTCTGGTCTATTGGTGAGAGTGGAGCACTGGAGCCACATTCTCATTATGTTGCAACTAATATGTGGCTATCTACCTAGCCGTGTTTGGTTTATGAAATTGAGTATGCCTATGTTTTGTGTGTATTATTTAGCTGGTAATATCCTTTTGAGGGACTGTTCTGTTAAAGACATGAAGTTGTGTCTTATCTCTTCTGACTTGTTCTGGCTTGGCATTTCTTTCATCCAGTATGACAATTATTATACCAGCTTGTTTCTAAGTCCCATTTCTTTGTAAGTTCATCTTTCTGCCCTTTTGTTCTAAGGTGGTTTCTGTCCTCTATGGTGAAGAGTGTTCCTTAGAGGCAGCAAAAAGTTGGCTCCTGTATAATAATAATTTGATAATCTTTTCATTAGGAAAGGAGAACATAACTATCCAATGTTATTACTGTAAGGTATGTGATTACTATGTGGTGTTTTCTTGGACATATTTTGATTACTTTTCCTTGTGTTGATTTTTTTTTACTGTGTCTTGTGTTTTGTTTTTGTTTTTCAGTCTGACGAATTCCTTCCACTATCCTCTATAGTGGTGGAAAATTCCTTGAGTTTGTTTTTTAACATGAAAAGTTTTCATTTTTCCTTCATGTATAAAAGATGGCTTTGCTGATTATATTATTTCAGGTTGGAAGTTGTGATCTCTCAGGGATTGGAATACATCTTTCCTACCTCTCCTGACTTCAAAGGTTTCTATGGAGTAATCAGCCATTCTTCTAACAGGTCTACCTGTGTATGTGATACTGCTATTCTCTGTTGCAACTTTCAATCTCTTTTCTTTAGGTTTTGCTTTTGTCTTTCAACTGTAACATCTCATGGGTAGCTTATTTTCTGATCCTACTTGGCTTTCTTTGTAGGCCTCTTATACCTGAATATGCAAATCTTTCTCAAGGTTTGGAAATTTTTCTTTTAAATTTTTTAGAAAGAGTAATTGGACTTTGAGTTTATTATTAAAAAATCAGTTGTATTACATATCCCTATACATTTTTAGAATTAAATTTTACAAGTATTACCATATTCATAAACAGTCTATAATTTTTTAAAAAGTATATATCTAATTGAAATAGAGTTGTATCACTTTTCTTCCCTTTTCTCCCTTCATCCTTCTCAGGAACCCCTCCCTCCAACATCTCCCATCTACCCCCTTCAAGCTGATAGCATCTTTTGTCTACATGTGTGCTCAAGTGTATGAGGTATGTGTTTGGCATACATATGCATGTGGGTATGTGTCCTGGGGTTTCTATTGCTTCAATGAGGTAAAATAACTTAAGTAACTTGGGGGGAACAGGGTTTATTTGGCTTTCATTTGCATATCTCTGTTCATCATCAAAGGCAGTCAGAACAGGAACTCAGAGTTTGATGCAGAGACCATGGAGGGGTGCTGCTGACTGGTTTGTGCGACATGGCTTGTTCAATTTACTTTCTTCTAGATCTCAGGACCACCAGCCCAGGAGTAGCCTCACCCAAATAGGTTAGACCCTCCCAGCCATTATTAATCAATAATTAATGAAGAAAGTGCCTTACAGTGGAATATTATGGAGAAATTTTCTTAACTGCAGGTCTTCTTTCAGATGAGTTTAGCTTGTGTCAAGTTAGCGTGAAATTCACCCACACAGTATGCTTCCACATGTGTGTGGAGGTTGCAGATGTTAATGTTGGGTGCTTTACTTATTCATAGTCATCTTCAGCTACCTGGTTTATTGAGAAAATATCTATTACTTATAAGTGGGGTTTTTCATTGGGGCTGCCAGCTCCCAGAGACTTATTTTTAATTATAAATGCTTAGTCAAAACTTAGGCTTGTTACTATCTCTTCTGTCCTAAATTAGCCCATATTTCTTATCTACACTCTACCACATGGTGGTACCTTTTTCAACGTAACTTACCCTTCTCCAGCTTCCTCCGTGTCTGGCTGATGACTCTGCCTTTTGAAGTTCCTATACTCTTATTTTTGTCTACACATTCCACCTAACCTCTACCTGCCGTGATTTTGTCAATTTATCCCTTTATTAAACCAATGAAAGCAACACATATTCACAGTGTACCAAAGTACTATTCTACAGTATTTAATGGTTGGTGAGGTGGCTAGCCAATGAGCTTTGGGAATCAACCTGTCTGGACACTCCTTCCCTAGGGCTCTGGTGTTAAGAGATGCACCCCAGCCCCATGCAACTTTAAATGGGTCCTGGGCATCCAAACTCAAGTATTCTGCTTGCACTGCAAGTAATTTCCACACGGATCCATTTTCTCAGCCAAAATGGCATGCACTTTTGAGTTTTCTATTCTCCCATGATCCATATAGACATTGTCAGTCTCTGAGTGATCTGGTAAATTGCAGGCATATACACTAAAGTTACTGAATGTTTAAGCTCCAAACATTTTTAATTTCTCTGAGCTTGAGTCTTCACAAACACACCATCATTCAGAAAAACAGAAGTGTGTGTGTGTGTGTGTTCATGCTTACTTGGGAGAGAGAACACATATGCAGGTAGTGAGCTTTGCAATAATCTCTACTACAGAGTATGCTGTTGAATCAAGGTAATTTGCTACCTCAGCACCATTTAAGACTCCCCACTAAATTCTGGAGAGTTGGCAACAAGTAAAACCAGTAGCAGCTTTAGCAGAGTAGAGGCTTCATTCAAGTGCAGATGGAATTTACATCTACCTATGACCATAAGCAGTTAACCCTTATGATGATTAGAATGACTCAAGTGGTTTCTTTACTCTAAAAGTTCAATGTTTTAAGATTGTGTGTGTGTGTGTGTGTGCATGTGTGTGTACTTACAGAGGCCAAAAAGGGGGATCAGCTACCCTGGCGCTGAAGTTACAACTGGTTTTTATGATACCTGACTGACACCTGCATGGGAAAGAATTCTGTTTTAACCACTGAGCCACTTCTCCAGCTCCTAAACTTGCAATTTATTGAATCAGTCTCTTCTACACAACCTTGACTAGGATCATTGCTATTTGTCTGCCTAGTTTGGGTTATTTAAAGGACTGGGAAGTGATTTCTTACTGTCAGTGGGCTTTGGAGTTCTAAAGTAAATCAATCCAGCAATTCTCTAGTTGGGTTAAATTTCGCTGAGTCTGTTTTTTTCTCATACCCAGTAAGTCAATAAGTGACTTCACTTTATACCTGCAAAGAACCAAGGAGTGCATCCAAATGACTCTTATGTAAGTAGTTTTTTTTTTTCAAATATTTGCTATGAATTCACTTTGGAGCAGAGAAGGCCAGGTGATTTGGGGAGGGGGGGGTTGCACCTTCTGTTACTATTATATTTTATCTATATCATAAAGGTTCTGCTTCATATTATTTCAACCTTAACAAGGGCTATTTTCTATCTACATATTGTGCCATCTTCATATTCAAAAGTTGAAAGTTATCAATGTGATGATGTTGGGGGTGTGGTTTCAGAAAGTGGTTATGAGGCAAGAACAGGAACTTCGGAGCACAGACAGGGTGAGGAGGTCCTCTCTAGAAACCAGAATGCAGACCTTCGGTAGAGGCTGAGGACTTCCTAGCCTCCAGATGTGTGAGAAATAGTTCCTGTGGCTCCAGACTTGTCTAGTTTATAGGACTTTATTATAACATATCCAAATGGCCTCTGTCAGTTAAAACAATGAAGTGATCTTTTTTATTAGTCACTGGACCCTTTGATTGGATCTTTCTGTAAACCAGAAAAAGGAAAGCAAGCAAACAAAAACCATTGGTCTAGGCCCTCTTTCAGTATTCTGAAAGCCTTAGGGTATATTTCTCTCCAACAATGGATGACTGCCCCTGCCAAGAAACCCCAGGGTAGATGCTCTGTGAAGGGTTAGATGTTAAGGTAATATACATCTCCCTGCACAGATGATGGGAAACACTCAGCTTCCTCTAATGGGTACTCCAAGAATAATCCAGGAAGCAGAAAAAGGTCTTACACAACCACATCTGTGTGCAGGGAGAGTGATTAAAACCAATTCTCTCAACAGCCTTCTGAGGAAAAACTCTCAGTTCTTACACCCTTGATGTGGGGTGTCGATGGTGGAGGGCCAGGCAGATGGGCCTAATAGGCACCCTTGTAATCATTCTCCTTAATTTTATACACAACACTAATAAGTAGGCCTCCTTCTCCATTTATACTTGTGAGCAGTTGGGAAAACTTTTAAAAGGCTAATATAAATTATTCAAAATAGCTCAAAGCCATCTAACAGGAATTCTCTGGATTACTAAAATGGTTCAAAGAAATACCTCTTAAATACCAATTAAGTACCATCTCATTAATTTCCTTTAGACTTCTGCATCTTGAGTAATTGCCCTTTTAAGAAAACTTTCTCCCGTATTTAAACGCAACTGTCCCCGTGTCTCTTCTGAGGCTTTTCTGCTGCTCCTCACCTTATTTTAAGCTTTTGCTACAGAATTCAGTGATCATTACACACACAACGGTCCTGCTACTTATTTCTAGAATTAAAGGGGCCTCCTAACTTTGTCCTTTCCAATATTTGCAAAAAGCATTTCCGCTATTTGCAGAAAACATTTCTGTTTGCTCTCTCTTTATTTTCCCTGGCTTACTTTCCATTTATTTCTCCTCACTGTCCTCCATTGAGTTTCTGCACTGCTTATACAAATAGATCCAGCAAGATAAAAAATAACTATTCTAAAATTTTTATATGATTTATTTACTAACATATTCCGAGCACCATTTGCCTACTAATAGTCACAAGTTCCAATGGTTTTCTAATTTTCCTGCTATTGTAAATATTCAAGATAAAGCAAAGAAGATCTAAGCATGATGAACAGTCTAATCCCTATGTCTAAGCTCCTGCTGGTCTATATTGATTTTGGTAGGGGTGGGAGTCTTCAGATGATCACAGAAATGCCCTCACTGATTTACTGACTATTCTAGAACAGCAGAAGGGGCATCATAAAGCAGTAACTTTCCAATCACAGTTTTCAGGTAACTGCTCTCAAAATGTGGTTCACAATCCTGGAATTATTTACAAGGTCCTGACTTTATGCCTAGGACATAAGGACTTTGTCTGTCTCCCATGGACCCACGTCCATCCAGCAAGTGCCACTCTTGCTCAGTGGCCTCTAGAGTTTGAAATTCTGGGCACAGGAAAAGCAGGACATTTCTGCTTTAATTCTCTTTGAGTTTGACCTCAAATCTTCATTTCTACTCCCACTACCACCTTCTCAAGATTAATAATGGTGGGAAACTATAATCCCTTAAAGAAACTGTCATAGCCTGATTCAAGAATATGACTTTGCCTTCTCATCACACTAAAGCTAAAATGTACACATAGAAACACACGTGTGTGCTCACTAGATTTCTCAAGACCTGGGTTACCCGGTTTTGAATACAAACAATCAAGATGTGTGCAGTCCTGACTGAGTTTCTTCAGCCCAGCCAGTGCCCTCCAAAATGAAGTGTGTGTTCTCTTAGGTCATCTCCTGCAAAGCCCGGAGGAGATAGAATATGTCTCTGGAAGAATGAGTGAGACCAATAATCCCAAGTGACAGTTCATGCTGACAAGGAGGTGGAGCAGAGAGAACACTCATCCATTGCTGCTGTGAGTACAAACTTGTACAGTCAGTATGGAAATCAGTATGGTGGTTCCTCAGAAAGATGGGAATCAGTCTACACCACTCTTGGGCATATACCCAAACGATACTGCATCCTACCATAAGGACTCTTGTTCAACCATATTCTTTGATATTCTATTTATAATAACCAGAAATTGAGAATAGCCTAGATGTTCCTCAACAGAAGAATAGGTAAAGAAAATGAATGTGGTACATTTATACAATGGAGTATTACTCAGCTCTTTAAAAAAAAAAAAAACGACACAATGAAAGCTGCAGGCAAATGAAAGGAACTAGAAAAAAAAATCATTCTGAGTGAGGTAACCCATAAGATACCCAGAAAGATAAATATAGTATCTATTCTCTTATATGTGAATATTAGCTGCTAAGTAAATGATAACTAACCTAACAATCTGTAGACCCAGAGAGGTTAGGAATAAAATAAGTGACTAAGGGGGACACATGAATATCACTGGAAGGGGGAAATATATTAGATTTTATGGGAGCACTGGGGTAGGGGGAATGGAAGCAGGAGGATCAAGTGAGAGGGGACAGAGGAGATGGGGTTGAGGGAGAGAATACAGGAAGTGACGGTAGGACTGAGGAGCATTTGAGGGGTGTTATGGAAACTTAGAGAAGTGGACCCTTCTTAAAATATACAAAGGCAATCCAAATTGAAGTCTCCAAATACCGAGAGAGGCATAGTCCCAGTTGGTCATCTCTTGTCAACCAAACCAAGTTCTCAGTACCAGGACTGAGTTATATCCAACTGAGTTGTTGGCCATAAGGATCCCATGGAAATCCCCAAACTACCCAGACAACTGTTGCCAAGACAATGTGCTGTTTTCCACAAACAGACAGCAACACCCCATTACTTGAAGATAACACCCACAC